AGCTCCCGAAAGAGACAAATCTGTGGTGTATAGTGATATATTCTTGTTCAGATTACTTACCTAAACAAATACTAAAAATATTCCTGTCATAGCTACTTTCTTTTGCTTTCCATCTCAAAAGAGATCATTAGTGTCACTTCTAAGAATGAAAATTTTCTGCTTCTGAAACAACTTCTAGCAGGGACAAAACATAAAAACAGTAAAGTAGGACTCTAGTAACAGGCAACATACCTAAAACTTTGTTCTATATTATTTTCTAAGGAATATCAAAGGATACTTATGGATACTACAAGTGGGTTCCATATTATATGGCTGCCTTGGCCCCATGTTGCAAGTATAGAAATTATATTAAGGAGCACACAGACAGGATATAGAGATCAGAAATAATGTTGGCCTGCAGAGTTGATGTAAATAGGTATTTCCATCATGTGATTATCTTCTTATTCAACACAGTCTTTCAGTTGCACTACAAATTAGTGTTGCAAGTCTAAATCCAAGTCTAAACTTTCAAGGGTCTGAATGCCTGAATACAGTACTCTCATTTGAGCCAAGCTTTTCGCTAAATGACACTTTATTTACATCTACAGTTTAAATAAGTGCATATTGTTTCCTAAGTTTAATTTTTGTAAGTACTATTTAAGGTTGGTTCGATGAGAGCAGCAAGAAAATTGAAGCAGGAAACTGTAAAGACAGAAAAGGCCAGAGGCATAGATCACTGTTTTTCCTCTAGCTAAATCTATAGTAGTAAATAAAACTGAAATCTGAAGGCTGTTCTCTGGACCTGAGGCTAACTAGATCCCAGGTCGTGTCTAAAAAAATAACTATGGTAAAATATTTTGTCAACATGAGTTTGGAATGATTCCTGAATTGCACTAACAGCAAACCTTTTGAGTTTCAGAATTGGAGGTGATAGCTAACCTCGGTGGCAACTGTAACAGGAAGAGTGATGACTTTGTAAAAATATGGATGATTACATGTCAGGATGTGAATTTATGTTGTGGACCTATTTAGTGTAGTAGTGTAAGTGTAACCTCTGTGAAAAGAAAATGGGGTACTGTATTTATTTATTCCTTAGAATATGAAACAAAGTTTATTTCCTCCTCACTTTGTATTATTAGAGAAATTTACATCATTAGCTTCATTTTTCTTATTTGTTTAGCTAAATCCTGTTCTAAGACCAGACCAAGAAATCAGCTTCGGGCCCAGTAAATATGAGTTTGCTGTCAGAGGGAATGAGAAAAAATATGTTGTTGGCTCATTAGTTCATCAGCAACATAAAAGTGTGTGTTACCTGATGTCTCAGTAGGGCAGAGTCAGCACCAACAGAACTGCGCAGTCTAAAATGGTGCATCTTGCTGCAGAGCAAAAATTTAATGACTGTGAGTGTAACTGGTATATATTCTATCTAAATAAATCTACTGCAGGTAATAAGAGATTCTGCCTTACTCTGTAAATATTAGTATGGGATTGCAGGAGTTTCTTTGATGAAGAAAGGTGTCTCAGGACTGTAGAACTGTAGGATAATTCAGTGCAGAAAGACTTCAAGAGTTCTCTGGCCCAACCTTATACTCAAAGCAGGGACAGCCAAGAGCTCAGATGGGGTTGCTCAGGGCTTTATTCAACCATGTTTTGAAAATCTCCAAGGGTGAAACCTGCACAACCTCACTGATTAAAGAGGCCTAGATGTTCCATTCCTGAAGTTGCCTCAAACACCCTTGCAAAGCTATGAAGATTTCAAAACCAGTACTGAGTCAAAATTGATGCCACCTTTTAAAAGCGCATTAAGAAAATGTAAAATAATAATCAAATGTAATGAAAATGTTCTCAGCTTTAATTAAACAATTGTCTTCAATAAAAAAGAGGAATTTAGGAATTATTTCTTTTTTAGAATATGTGATAATAAAAATTCTTTACTTCTGGGCATTCACAACTCATATTTGACATAGATGTTTCCAAATATCTTATTGCTTTTATTTAATTGACTGAATTATAATATTACATCCTAAATAGTTCAGTGGTTATTAGTTAATTGTTTATTATTGTTTAGCATGGTCACATTCAAAGTGAAATTTCTAGAGAGAAGTAGGTTTCAGCCTTGTTTCTAGAACAAATTTCCCTTTCCTATTAGAAAAAAACAGGATCAAGAATTTTTATTCCCAGCAAGACTGCACAGCATGACTGACACTTAATACTTTATCCGAACATCCCCCTTTCCCTCCTGCTCTTCCTCCATTTGTTTTGTTACCTTTTTGCCATTTTATGATAATCTCAAAAATGTCATTTAATCATCACTGAAAAATGTCAGAAAGTAAGGACATTCTGTAAAGGGATTTGGATTTCATACAGACACTGTCATGTTTAGGTACTGTTATCCAGCAGTTATCAAATTATTGTCTGACCTTTCCATCCTTCTAACCTGCAAGACATTGGGCAATGGATTTAGTACTGTTTAGACAGAATTCATCTTCAGGTTATAATTAATAGGCCAATATTTAATCATTACATTTATGTGATTACAAATGAGGAAACTGTGAGCTATTACTGCTGGCTTAGACTGAGGCACAATTACTGGTAGCTTACCCAGCAAAAGTGCTTGAGAGTTGCTGTATGCATTTCCACATTTATAATTATGCAAAAAGCTCTATCATCTTACTTGACCTTTAAAGCCCCAATGTGCTGATTGTAGGAAAAGTATTCTAAAAGACTGATGGAAATTTCATACAGTGCATATATAACCCAGTGATTGTATCATCAGAAAATGCTAAACAATAAGTTTAAAGTTGTTATTCTAATTTGGCCAGACCTTGCTAGATTCAATCAAACACAATCAGAGGTGCATGGCTGACATTCTAACAAGCTTAGGGTGAAGGCGGCTAGTGCTTTGAATTGCATTAACTCATTTTTTGACAAATACTGGGTATTAATTTCAAACGTTTTTTTTATATAGGCACACAAAAATCCTTTTGGGTATCAATCACATAAGCTATTCAAGACAAGGTAACAAATCTGTCTAAAGCTAATGTGAAAAGAACTACATTTGTAAATAAGGTGTTTGTGTGATAGAAATACATACATGGTCATGTAACCTGCTACAGTGTTAGCATCTCAAAATATGTAGAAGTAATAGTAATTAAAAAAAAAATACAGAAAAGAAGATGTTTGAGCAGGTTTACTTCATTTACCACATCTGTCAATTCGTTACAAAAAAAAAACTCCTGTCAGTTCCATTCCTGACCCTCTTCCACTCCATCTTAAGTTGCACTAAACCAAGTCTGATTTAAAGTGCTTAAGAAATATTGCTATCTCAATATAATGCTTTTATTCAGAATTACAATATCATTTTATCAGGAAGGGAAGAAATTTTAAATATTTGCAAAATCATAATTGTTTCCTTAGAACTCTCACCTCATCTTTCTTCTGTAGAATGAAAATATCCAAGATGTCACACTGGGTTCAAGCCTTAAGAAAACCTGCCAAATCATTGCAAATAGAGCTACAGAGAATGTATGTGACAGTTACACACATTATCAGCAAACTTCCTTTGTAATCCAATAATGAAAATAGTGTGCTGCAGAACCTTGTGTGTATGCTTAGACATACAGCCATCATATAATATCTACAAAATATGTTAGGAAAACATTCCTTTCCTTGATTGCAGTTCTAGATATATTTAGCTCCTCTTTCTCATTCATGTTAGCCATTAATCAGCAAGTTCAAAAAAACTTGATAGGAGGAAAAAAAATTCCATAAACTGATCCATTAAAAAATTGTTTTTTAGTCCACAGAATCAAAACTAATTTATTTCTTTACTTAATTTTTATTTTAGCAGCAAAACAAATTTTTTTTGTTCTTCATCTGAAGCTATTTACCATAGTATGGATGGGCCATTTTTCTTGCAAAAACATTTATAGGCCTTTCTGTTAAAGAGATAAAACTATTTTGCATAATTTTCTAAAAGTATCTCAAAACAGAATTACAGGGAAAACATAGAGAACTGTTTGCAGATGTTGCTAATGTTAGCTCTCAGTCCTCTCAGTTAAAAAACTATAGAAGACCTTATCAAATAGTATGTGAAAAATCCTTTATATATCATCATCTGACAGAAAATAAGGAAGAAAACTTAATAAGGAAGAAATGCTCTTTTTGTAACTAAGAAGTATTCAAAAGGTAATTTTGCATTGTTAAATATAAACAGAATCATACTTTATGTATAACATTCTACTTAAATTACAGACTGTTGCTGTAATAGAGCTATAGTTTTGGAGTTGTTTTCCTTCTGTTTTTGGAGGGGTTTCCTGGATATGCTATTTTCACTATTTTTATGGTACCTATTTTGCAAAGGCACTTGAGTATTTTTAAACATATAGCTGATTGAACTCTGATTTATTTCATGTAAAGAGAGAAGGAGAGACTAAAAGAAATTTCTACATAAGAGACTTGTTTAGTTCTGATATTTCTTCACTGTGCTTTCTTACATGAAGATAAAGTGCTCACTGCCACTTGGCTATTGCAGTGTAAATGACCTTTGCATCATAAAAAATTGAAGGAAACCAAATTGTTTGCTTAGTATCTTCTGTTTATTGTTGAAAATTTATGCCTGTTTTTAAAAGCAACACTTTTAAGAGGGTGTTTGGATGTGAGAGGGAAATGGGAATAGATATATTAATATCAGGGCCTAAAATTACTGCCTTCAGCTTTAGGAATGATACTTTTGATGATAAGCATTACATATCATAGTATCTTAATAACGGTCTTATTTTTTTATTCATGTCATTATTATGTGTTTTGGCTTTTTTAGTGATTACTCTGCTCAGATTTACAATATGGCTTCATTTTAATGGAAGTTCAAACCCCAAAGACATGCCAACTTACAGCTTCTTTTATGTTTATAGTCTGTAATATAAACCAGCTATGTACTTGATTTTCTTTCCTTGTTGCTTTAGTAACAGCCTAATTAATTTGTCAGATGGTAAAATGTGCCTATTTCTAAATTTACACAGGCAAAGCATGGTACCATGTGAAGCAGAACTGTCAATCCTGAAGTTATCTTCAAATACAAGTATAACTAGAAATTTCTGGTCCGATTCACATTGGCTTAAAACAGGACCCATATTTGTTGGTGGTTTGCCTCATCGTTACACAACAAAACAGGTATTTTTATTATTGTTGTTTATTTTTATTTAAGAATTTTTTATTTTAAGAATGGCATGTTGAGTAGGATATAACTGAAGAGATTTAAACCATGCAAAAAATAAAAATTATTTACAGCTTTTTGAGGATTACACCTAAGTGATGACTATGGTCCCTTGAAGAGTATTGTTCATGTGAGGGACTTTGGTAAGTGAATAGAAACAACATTCTGGTCTGAAGTTATGAACTGAAATCCTGTTTGCCTTGATTAGGTAGAGTTAAGGAGCAAATACGATCAAATTTAGAGGAAGTACCTATTACCTCAGGTGCTGGTTCTATTAAGATGTGAAAATACTCTTATGGAGGATTTTGAGGTACAGTAGTCACAATAACAGATGCACATCACTTAAGTGATTTCCAATAAAATTTTTTTTTTATCACTCAAACTCTTCACACTTGCATAGATGAAAGACCCAGGCCCTGTAATTCATTTGAAACTGGTACTGTGTACCCAAGTCAGTCTCTGACTTCCTTGTCTAAAGACAACCTGTGTTGCTACCTGGACTCTTTAACCCTCTTGTCTCATGTCTCAAATGCATTTCCGGAAAGTAAAGCTGTTCACATTACATAACAAAGACTACTTGTCAGTGTTTGTATATTTTCCACACATAGTGAAATAAACTAAACTGTTAGCGCTGAGTTATTCTGGTCTGGGTCTCATTTATCTAAACGCTGGTGTTTGGAAAGGTGTTACCCCACAACTGCAGCAAATTTAATCTGTGGGGTTTTGTTTTCCCAGTGCACAGCAAAATCATATAGTCAGAGATGGACATATGTAATCCAATTTTAATTTTTTAAGCCATATTTTGGGTAGGCTTTACCCTGTGACAATTGATTTAACCTCTTCATTTCTGTTCTGTTCTTCAGTAAGTGAGGGTCATCCTATCATGAGGCAAATAGAGTAATTTCAAGTACCAGGAGGTTTTTAATGCTGCTATTATAATGCAGCATTTTTAAATTGCTTTTACCCTATAATAAATTGCACAGTAACCAATGAAGTGGCAAGACTGTGGAAATCCAACTTAGAAGTTCTTGTGAGTAGGTGCTTTTAAGGTTGTAAAGTATTTAGCCAAAAGTATACTTTTAAATACCACACACTGGCATTAAAAGAACACATCAGCTAGTATTCCAGTTTATACAAGTTTCCCCTTAATTCAAATGATCATACACAAACTATCTATTCATCTGCAATATTTTATCCTGAGTTCCATACGAAATATTATTTACTACAGAAATGTATCTTCAATAAATGTTCTATAATAATAAGATATAAGAAAATCATATTTTCAATGTTTAAATGACCTATCTTCTAGAAGCTAAGAGAAATGTTTTTGGGGATACCAGAAAGAATTTATAGTGAAGGTTTAGAGAATTCAGTCCATGTACAAGTTCAATTCTATGTATTTAGGAGCAGGTAAAGAAGTAATTTGTTTGAGAGTTATAATAATAATATATATATGAGAATGAATTTTGAGATGGCAAATAGCTCTTCAGTAGCTAAAGGCAATGTAAAACACAGAAAAATAAATTTACCTTCAGGAAGTTCAAATAGCAATAAGAGACAATGGTTTAAGGGTAATTTACTGCTAAAAAATTTGCCTATATATGTGTAGGATTGTCATATCAACATGGACTTTCTTTCTTTAAGGATGTTGCAGTTCAGTAGATTATTCTATTTTTTAATGCAGGATTATTCTATTCTTAATGCAGGTGAGATGTTGTGGTCCATGCTTGTCATCTAAGTTAGGTTATAGATGTAGGACTTGTGCAAGTGGTCAGATTGGTGATACTTAACCTCTATTACATATAGAGAGGAAAGCATACATTCCTATAACTTTCCCAAAAGGAAAAAATACAACCTTTACTCTCAGTTACCTCTCTAGTTTTCCACTGAGCTTTTTTGCAGGTCATTACTTTCTGTTTGAGATGACCTCAGGCTTTTATTTCACTGTATTTTCTTTGCTTATTTATTATTTTTGTGTTCATTTTGATCTTAATGTCTCATTTTGCTTATTTTTTACATTTGTGTAGCTTTAGGTAAGTTTTATTTTCCTTGACTTCCCTATCAAAGTCTGTAGGCTCTAAGCCGCATAAGGTCTATAAAGGCTATATTTTTCCCTTTTTGTTGGGGAATGGAGAACTGTCTGTCCAAGTACACTTTGTGTGAGCTTTTCAATCCCAGTAGGAAACCGTTCCATAAAGTTTCTTTCTCAACATTGCAGACCCAGACAGTCAAGCTTCTACTGTAAAATCTCCATCATCCCTTAAACAGAAAAGGTCTGTTTCTGACCTTCACCCTGCAGTTTGCTTCAAGGGAGATTTCTGCTCCAGCTGAGACTCAGCTTTTTCTAGCAAGCGCTCTGATCACTCTTGGAGTCAAGTTCGATAATGATCCTTATGATACCCATAGTATCGACCTAATAATACATTGTCTTGTTTTACTGGAGTCCCTTCTCTCACTGGAGTAATTCGCTCTGATGTTGGCTCTTCTAACTTCCAGTATTGTGGAAGCTGGAGAGAACAGTTACTTCAGACCCTAACTCCTTCAGTTTCTGACTAACAGGAAATTCTAGCTGTCAGTACCAAAAACTGTTGACACAGAAGTTCCATATTACTGGTATTGGCTCATGCAACACTATTCATTTCCAGGCTAGATTCCTTTTCCTTTCATTTTGAGTGAATTTTCATATGATCTGTGAAGCCCTCAGGGTAAAATATTGCATCCTCTGAGGATTTCCTATACCTCATTTTCCTAATCAGCTCTCAAGTGTCTGTGCATATTTTTCCTCATATTTCTCTTTTGTCTGTATGTTTATTGTTTGGTATTCCCTAGAGTCAGAGTGCCCTCCAAATGCAAGGCAAGGTGCAACAATTCTAATGGTTTCCCTAGCTGCTGCCACAGCTTGGGAAAGCAGTTCAGGAGAGTAGAGCCCTAACCTTTAAGGTAGTGATGTTATTTGAAATAACACCTGTGATATCTGGCAAAGCAATGCCATAACACCCCAATAGATTTCCTCACTATACAGAAAATCTCAGACCTCCCAAATCACAAGGCCTAATTGCTGTGACAGGTGAGGAGAAACAGTAGAGCAAGCCAAAGAACTACTTAAGTAGACCAGACATATAAAGTATTATGGAACCAGATAGGATTCTTACAAGCACACACCGCTGGCTGGTGCTGCCACAAGGCCGCTCTCCATTACCTCTGAAAGCCTAGAGCAATCAGAGGACATCCCTGAGGACAGGAAAAAGACAAATGTGATGTCGTGTTCATCTTCAAAAAAACAAAGAGGAAAATGAGTAACCATGAGTTGGTCAGGTCAATGGCACAACTCTTTCCTGAAACAAATGTAGAAACAAATGAGGGACAAGCAGATCCTTGGAAACAACCAGCATGGATTTACCAAAGGAAAATCTGCCTGACTAGTATCCTTGCCTTCCCTGTTGAGCTGACTGGCTCTGTGGACAAACAGAGGGCAGTAGATAATCCTTTGTTTCCCAGACTCAACTTCACTCACAACTCGTCTGTCTCCTTCCTCTGAGCAGCGCAGGAGGATGGGGAGTGGGAGTTGTAATCAGCACATAAGAGTTTGTCTCTGCCACTCCATCCTCCTATACATCTACAGTTCTTTTATCTCAGATACCCACAGGCCAAAGGTGGGAAAAGTATTTGCCTGGGTATGAATTCTGAAGTATCTGAAGGTGTGGGTAGAAAAGGTAACGGATACATGCACTGAAACACTTTGGATAAACTCATCCAAGTTCAAGCATTGCAATCTGTTTCATGCGCAGCAGGAAATTGTTTTTATGACTTTGTAAACTGTCCTTTGCAAAGTCTATTGGATTCATCTGACTGTGTAGGATGGCAGAGCTGAACAGTAGGAGGAAAGTGAAACTATAAATAGCTGGCTGGCAGACATCTTGTTCTGCTGTCTCTACATAGTGAAACCACCCCCCTTCAGTTCTGTGCCAGATTTGTCTATTACTTATTTTTAAATCGTGTCCTATTTTCTGATAAAGAATATGATGGGAATACTTCAGACTTGTCACATCTAATAAACAGGTAAATGTCAAAATCAGCTAAACAGTTAAATAACATCATCTTTCTAAAACACTGGGTTTATGATCACTGGTTTTTAAGACTTAAAATCGACAACAGAGGAATAGAAATAAAATTACACAGAGAAAAAAAGACTTTTTCCATCGAAAATGAAAAAAAAATATTTCTGAAATCTCAAGACTTGTTTCAGAATAATTGATTTCATGTTAATTTTAGTATCATTAATTGTTTACAATAGCTTTTTCCTCTGCAGAGAAGATTGGTACACTTAAAGGGAAATTAAAGACTGTTTTCAAATACCTACAGCAGCAGTTGATTGCAGTAATGCTGTTATTTCTGCTGCTATAATTGCTCCAGTAATTTATATTTCTAGACTTAATACTATTTTAGTATTGAGAAAGTTGAAATGTCATTATATCTTCATATTCCTTTTCAACACAAGCAGTTCTCTATAATTAAACTTTGCAAGTATTAAAACAGGAAAGTTTCAGAAGGAAAGGAAGCTTCTGTACCAGGAGAGCAATCTTCTAAATTAAGATAAAAGATTAAGTGGAACGTATGCAAATATATCTATGGGCATCAGTAGGTTACTGATGGGGAAATGGCAAGAGATAATTGAGTGATATGCTCAGTATCATAGTGTTTTAATGCTGAAACTAAGATGAGATGGAAATCATCATACATCTAAAGACTTCCAGTTAGACTATGAGCCCACAGTAGTCTAGAGGGCATGCATTTTAAATACAAATGTATAAAGTAGACTGTGCATATCTAAGAAAACTTGTAGTTTTCCTATGAAACAGAGAGAATGTGATATCACAATCGTATGAACTCCCCAGTCTCAAGATATTCTCAGATGTATCCATATGCAGATAAAAATGTTTCATACATTTTAATAACC